ACATCACCTCCTCTCTTCCGAGCAGCCATTACGAGTTCAACCTTTCTACCCTCGCAATATGCCTTTGACGATATCATCCCTCAGGTTTGTTCACGGATTTCTACATACACTGGTTTATATCTAACATATCCTAGACGCTGTATAACGAGGTAGTTTCTCAGGCGAGGTACTTTAGAATGCCTGCATCTCACGGTGATCCTCACACAAACACAAATCAGTTGCGCATCAGCAGCAGACACTCTTGCTTGCCTACGAACCGTTGACACTACGATATTGCAAAATATCAATGTAAACTTATCGACTAGTGCATTTTTCGGAACTTTCATCTTTATTCCGGTCGTGGATGGGTCCTTCATCACACAACGACCAACTCTGGCTATGAAAGAACATAAAGTTAATGGGGTGTGCCTGTTTCATGTTGTCTCCTACTATCATTCTCTCATTCCTAGCTAGGATGCTTTACTCGCGGTCACGAATGCCTTTGAAGGCTTTATCTTTGTTGATCAAAGTACGGCTGGCACAGTCACAACTCCAGAATATGTTAGCCAGCTGTTCCCCAAGCTCGGTGCACAAGAGATCGCGGAAGCTACCGCCCAGTACGCAGATCTCGGTGCTCCCATCGATCAGGCTAATGCCATCCAGGGCGAAGGTATTATATGTCAAACCTGAGTCCTACTTGTTGCTCATCATGTTGTTATCAGCCATCTTCAAATGTCCAACTTACTTTCTCCTGCATGCATTTGAGAATAAGTCGTTCAAGGTAAGCTCGTCTTTCTCCTCCCAACACTACTAGTGCTCATGCTTGGCTTCAACATGTGTCCAGGGAGAGTTTGCCATTCCACCAGCTCACCACGGAGATGATGTCGTATATTATTTCCCATCGTACGTATTGTTCCTTTTCTGCAGATCACAATTCTCACTTTTTCAGTCCTGGAGTCCCTCCGTTTAGCAACCCTGATTTTGACGCGGCTTTTTCACATTCTTTCCTTGACTTTGCGATGTCGCTTGACCCTAATATCAAGCCAGAGCCTACCATAACACCTCAATGGAATGTCTGGGAAGAAGGGTCTACGGAGATGATTTTCAACAAAACTGCAGCAGGTGCACCCGTCGTTGAACCCATTGTAACGTCTAGCTCCTTGTTACAGCGATGCAGGTAAGAAGTCCTCTCTAATTTCTCTAAGAACATATGCATTTGACTCCATCGCTGACGTGTGATTTGTAGTTTTTGGGAAAGTGTTGGGGCTTTGTCCGGACAGTAACACAAGCACAGTGCTGACAATGTATTCAATCAAAGTGTGCAGTTGTGATTTAGTATCCGACATGTTTTGTTGAAGGCCTCCAGTAAATATACATGTGCCAATATGCATCGAATGACGGGTGATTTCAAATCAAGGGGAGTCGCCCACGTGGGAATTCTGTCTTTTCATGAAGCCCCTGTGGCCGGCTGTTATATCCCCAAATAACCCCTCTAAATACTACGTACCCACTTTCTAGGGATGCTTTCAGGTCTGAGATCATCACCTATGGCCCATCTAGGGCGATGGAAGCTCAGCACTCAGATGATGAGTTGTGGATGAGTCGGCAGGAGGTTCCTCGGAACTAAACGTACTCGCACATTCTATAAATTGTTGTTGGCCATCTCATCCACCGCTAAAACATCATGACGTCCCCTCTGCGCTATTACTACGCCATACTGGCTTTTTTGACTTGGAATGTTGTGGCCAATCCAGTGACTTCTCCGGTGGTTGATCTTGGTTATGCCAAGTATGCTGGGTCCTTCAATGCGACCCGAGGGACGACCCAATTCCTTGGAATGCGCTATGCTGCTCCACCTACCGGTCAGTCTCAGTTGACCGCCAAACACAAAGAATGCTCAATTTCCAAAGGTACTTTGCGGTGGCAGCCGCCTCATCCCCCGGCTACAACGCCCGGCATACAGACAGCTGACTCCGAACCATCCGTATGCTTCTTTGCCGGACAGGGGAATCAAGCAGCTTCGCCCTTTCGCGATAACAAGAACCACAAAAAACGAGATTTGTCTTTCACGGAAGACTGCCTTTTTTTGAAGTGAGTCTATTCATTTTATCGCTGTTTGTTTCTCTGAAAAAGCCTCAGTGTTTATCTACCTGGTCAACTATCGTCAACAGAAAAGTTACCAGTCGTGGTCTGGATTCATGGGTGTGCTATCTTACTCCGAAGTGAATGATTCTTGGCTTAAGAGTTGTACAGCGGCGGTTATATGTCAGGAAGTGCATCAGGTTTCAATGGTGCTGATTTCTATGACGGAAACGCTCTCATAAGCGAAGCCAATGGTGGTGTAGTTGTTGTTGTAATTCAATACCGCCTTGGTCTCTTTGGTTTCTTAGCTGGCAAAGAAGTCAAGAAAGATGGTACTTTGAATGTTGGACTGCGTAAGGCGAATCACATCTAGTTCTGCATATCCTCTGAGAACTTTCAATAGTGGATCAACAATTTGCTCTTCGATGGGTCCAGAATAACGTTCGTATAAACATGTCCGTCTGTCTATGTTTTATCAACTTAGGAGAGTATAGATTCACAAATTCAATGGCGATCCGAGTCGCGTCGCGATTTGGGGCCAGTCAGCAGGTATGTGATATCAGCATGGGATAAGACAGATTCTCAGCTTGTTTGGTTTCTGTAGGTGCTGGATCGGTCATGCAGCATGTCGTTGCGAATGGCGGCAAGACTTCACCTCCTCTCTTCCGAGCAGCAATCACAAGCTCTACCTTCCTGCCATCTCAGTACAGCTACGATGACCGCATTCCCGAGGTTTGTTGATACATTCAGTCACCTTCTGAAACACATTGATGAACACCATCTCCGTAGACCCTGTACAACGAGGTGGTCGCCCAGACAAAGTGAGCTTCCTCACGAGATAGATCAGACGTCTCGTATCGACATTATCTTAGTTGCTCGACTGCGCTGAATACGCTTGACTGTCTCAGAAGCGTTGATGCTCAGATACTCGAGACAGCCAACGGGAATATAGGCAACAGCGGCTTCTTCGGGGTTTTCTTATTCGTCCCTGTTGTCGATGGTGAATTGATAAAGGAAAGGGTTACTAAAGCTCTGGAGCAGAAAAGAATAAATGGTGTACGTTCTTATATTTCTTTCCCGTAAGCCCTGGCCACTGATGCACATTTGTCAATCTAGGACATTGTATTAGCTGCCACCAACTCCTTCGAAGGAACCCTTTTCATCGATCCGAAAACCCCTGTGGACGTAGATGTGGCGAACTACGTTGCACAGCTCTTCCCCGATTACAGTGACAAACAGATCGCAGCGGCTGCAGCACTCTATAAGGACCTTGGCACGCCTCTTTTTCAAGTCACGGCAATCATGGGCGAATGTGAACTTCAAGATCCTGTGCAAATCGTATGGTACTGACCGCCGTTTAGCCATCTTTATCTGTCCCACTTATTTCATGCTGGAGGCCTTTGGTGGTCGTGGCTTCAAGGTGAGCAGCTCACTAAAGGTAAAATGTAGAACTATTACGATCTCGATTGTGTACAGACTGAATTTGCAATTCCACCTGGTGGACATGGAAATGACGTGGCATACTATTATCCATCGCATGAACAATTTCCCAGAGTGCGCGCTCACTTTTGATTTCGTTGGTTATAGGAACGGACCGCCGCTGTTCAACAATCCAGACTTCATCAAAGCCTTTTCGCACTCTTTCTTGGACTTCGCGATATCGCTGAACCCTAATGAGAAGTCATCTCCAACGATCACCCCGAACTGGGGACTATGGGAAGGGAAGAACGAAATGTTATTCAACATGACTGAGGGTGGCCTACCTGACGTTCGTGCAATCGAAACATCGAGCGCGCTGCTGCGGCGATGCGAGTAAGTTTATTTGAAATGGAAAACTATCAACAAACGGGAACTGGTTGATTGTGTTTTCTAGGTTCTGGCAGAATAACAGTGCTGCGTCAGCTCAGTGATAGGTTTGAAAGAACAGTTTGTTTTGATATTTTTGATTCACTTTGTATATGATCTATGCGCAGTTTAGTTATCTATATTCTGAGTTTCAAATAACAGAGAGGGAAGGATGATCCGTTGTTGGTTGGGATGAGTGATAGTGAAACTGGTTTTTCTTCCTAACTACATGACATGTAACAGAGCACATCGCTGGGATGTACAGTAATAGAATAGAGCTGAGAAAGTATGATATGACGGGTATAAAGCAAAATCGTGCCGAACCTATCTGCTAACCCCTTCACTGAACTGAACTGTTACCCGTGGTCCGGTGATCGAGGGGGAAACAAAAGTGGGGGGCGGCGCCGAGGTAACATGGAGTATCAAATGCGGGCCGAGGGGAGGAGTCGTCGGAGTGACTTGTGCGATATATCAATGATGCGAAAATGCTTCTTGAGGTTTATATGGGGGAATGTCCCGTATAGGTGGAAGTGACGAGTCACTATGAGATTGACGGAGAGATTGAAAATGACAAGTGAAACAAAATGTGATGAGACTGCATCCAAACCGACAACAGGGCCTTTGACGTTCGTTCAAACAAATGTCATGTGAGTCCAGCTGACCACTTCGATCATATAAAGGGAATGAAGATCCAATGAAGAGGCGGCATGTGATCATGCTAGTAAGTTACGTCCACACTGGGCGTGAGGAGGGAAGTCCATTGGTGAAAAGGCTGCCAAGTTTTGAATCCGGATAAGCTTCGAGATCATCTTCAACGAACCACGGAGTGTCGAAAGGGTGCAAGAGGGTGCCATGGGCGAAACTGGGCATAGGGAATAGAGGTGGACTGGATCGAGAATGTGCCCAGATCAGACTCTTCGCCTGGGCGGTTCAAGCATGTGGGCAAAGATCAGGGATCGATGTTTGTGCCTTAAGATGGAAGGGAAGGGCTACCGTGAGAGAAGGTCCCGGAACCAACGGGAAGGCGTAATGAGTTCTTGGGAGGGATCAGAGAAAAAGGAGCGGGATCACGAAGATGTTTAAAATAATAGACAGCCTTCTTGGCTCAGTTGGCTAGAGCGCAGGTCTCATAGAAATGTGACATAAGAATTGTTACGTAATCCTGAGGTCGCAAGTTCGAGCCTTGCAGAGGGCAGAAATATTTTGTTACTCAGCGCTTTTTCATTCATCTTATCCTACCTCATTCAAGCCTTCACACGTTTGACTTTCTATGACATGCCTTGTGAGAAAGGGAGACAACTACGATAATTAAAAAACATCTAGCACATCTACACACTTTAATATAAAAATAATTTCCGAAATTGGATCCACAGTACGGAGTACAAAACTAGAATAATACAATGAGTGGAGCCTATACAATTGGGTCTGTACGGCCAATGCAACAATCTATGCAGAATGAGTAATGAGTAAGAGAAACATGAATCATCTATGCGGGGTCCGAATTTGGAGAGGGTGAGGAGTCGTATACTAAATAGATTGTGCTGGACCAGGGAATAATGTCCATCCATCCGATCCCGTTAAATGCAAGAGAAAGTGATGAGTCGGTAAGTCCTAATTTGGATATCACTTGATTTCACTCGAGGGGGCGAAGGTATAACAAGAGAAGATCATTAGCCGCGCATTTCACGGGCTAACCTTTCCTTATCTTTCTTACGTCTACGTTTCTCCTCTTCATGGCGGCGTTCGTCTTCGAGCGCCAATTGATCTTCTTTCTTTGCAAGGCGAGCACTAAGAACAGACATAAGTTAGAAAAAGTGACAAGCTGAGTAGAAAATGTTGGTAATTGTATACCTCCGCAGCTCTTCTCTCTCGAGGGCGGATGCATCTGCCTCCATGTCCTCGTCGTCGCTGAAGACGTCTTGATTGACATATTTATCCCTGTCTTTACCAAATAGCTCCCAAATAGTGCTGCTATATCCTGAGCCGGCCTGCCTTCTGGGAGGTGGCGCAGAATCGAAATCCGATTCTTCGGATAGACTGGGAGAACGCGGACGTTTCTTCCCAACGGAGGTGTATGACTTAGTACCTCCAGCGCCGTTTAAGGCTTTGAATGAATTCACAGAGCCTGACTTTGTAGATGACGTGCTGGGTTTCTGATTCGCAGAAGAGGTCTTAACATTTGAAGAAGACGCAGATACTTTGGACGCAACAATCTTCGACGGTAACGGTTTGACAGGAGGGGCCGATTTCTTCGACGATGTAGGTAGTTGAGGAGTTGCACTGCGGCCTTCTGGAGGGCGAGGAAAGTGAACCGCGTAAACAGGAAACGGAGACTCTTGGTAGACTCACGAGAGCTAGGCGTATTGGCACCAGAAGGGGCATTTGAAGTAGATGTCACCTTCTTCGTCTCCCTCTTGTCTGTAAACCAATTGTCGAAGCCGCGCGCTTGATCTCCTTCGAGAGTTTTGCCTTCTCGCAATTTGGCACGATCCTGTATGATTTCATCAATAGTACGAGTATCGCGCTTGACTGTGTTAAGCTTGGTCAAGGTGTTGGGCATCGCAGTCAACCGCTCTCGGACTGACTTCGTCGATGAAGAGGCGTTGGAGGCCGATTGTGGCCCTGTCATTACATCAACGGCACCACCGGGTAGGCGTTTACCAGGCTTGGATTGGGAGGCACCAGAGCGTTTTGTAGGATGGAAAAGCCTCCGCATCTCCTGCTGTTGCTTTCTCTGGCGTTTCTCCTCCCTAGTCAAAAACTCGGGAGCAGAAGAATCGTCATCATCGTCTGGCAGCCGTCTTTTTCGGACCTCCTCTCGTGTTCGGTCTTGCGAAGCTGAAGAAGGCCATTTCGGAGCAGAACCATCAGAGAGTACTTTGGCCTTCTTGGGGCCATGCTGGTAAGAATTGCGCTCCATTTCTGCTCGCTTTCGGCGCTCGGCCTCGATAGCAGCTTGCTCCTGTTCTCGTTTCAACTGACGCTCTCTCTGTCTCTTCTCTTCCTCGAATATCATCATTCGACGCTTCCTTGCTAGCTCCTGCTCCTTCCTGTCCTGTTCTTCCGCCTTTTTTCGCTTCAACTCCTCCTTACGCGTCCGCTCGGCGAGGGCGATCTGAACATCCTTTTCTGCCTGCTCAGTTTGTGTATGGCTCAGTGCCATGAGATCCTGGAACGACATCATGATGGACAAACGAGATGAAGAGAAGAACAGAACAATTGGTTAACAAAGGGTAGAGTGCACAAGGAATGCGTGGCAAGTTCTGCCACAAGGGCTCTACAAAATTTGGTCGTGTTTGGTCCGTCACTTCCGAATACTCGCCCTACTGGCCAGGTCTGGCCAGAGCTCACCGACAAAGTCAAGACAATAACAGAATTCCATGCGTTAAGTATATACAGTGTGAGGGTATAACATCAACTGTCTATCAGAGCTCATCGAGTCCACAGTTGCCGAGGAAGTAACGATGCGATGTACATTGCAACACACACTGTCGCGGTCAGCACATAATATACGAAATAACCGCTCAATAGGTTTTTTTCGATAGAGAGGGAAAAAAGAGAGTTAGCCGTTGCAGGGCCGATTGCTCTCATCATACTAACACCCATCTATAGCCGTGGTCAGAGATAAACATAGCTTCACTCAGGTATGATTCTCGACGCACCTGGCTCAAACCATTCGTCGCGCCGATAGATGCGCGGTTCGGAGATGCTGCCGCGATGATTATAAAGATAGCTCCTGCACGAGTGAGTTAGCACGAACGATGTTTACTCTTCATTGTCCTCACCATATGAGAGATTCAATCCGATGGAAATCAAAGCTTGGAAAGCAACAACTGCCCAAACGATTGTAGTCACCCCTTGAGACTTAGCTATCGCGTTGATGATAGGGAACGCAATAAAGCATGGGAAGGCACATGCGATTCCCACAACAAACGTCTTCTTGGAGCCGAAGTGGTCGTGAATACTTGAAAAGAAAAATACTTGAAAGACTCCATTGCAGATCCCATATGCGGAAAGGATTTTACCAATGACGGATGGAGACAGACCGAGACCCCCCAAAGCGATGGGAGTCGATAGGAATAGAGGCTGGATTGCTCGGAATGCTATATCCACTAGGGACAAACCGGCATAATTGCCAGCCGCGAGTAGAACTCGAGGAGTCAGAAGGTCACACAATGGAAGCGGTTGCTCCTCATCGTGACCCTGAAGGGTTCGTGGTTCCTGTGATCTAATGTCGCCTTTTACAACATTATGGTCTTGATCCTTCCGAAATTTGAAAAGCTGAGATATTGAGATAGGGGACTTGAGAGTTTCCTTGAGACAGAGGAAGGTAATGAGCCACGCTATCGCTGTGTATGTTGCTGGAACTGCGCAAGGCAGGAAGTAAGGATATTTCTTGAGGAAATCGTTATTTCCGAACAATTCGGGGAACCGTTCCGCAGGTCGTGCAAGAGAACCGCCGATAAGAGGGCCAAGCTGCGCTTATTCGTCAACAATATTGTCAAACACCAATGGCCCACGTAATCTCACAGTTCCACCCATGGACCATGCAATAGGTTGGTAAGCATATGCCTAAAGAAAGAATCAATTATGAAGAAACAAACATACAACGTACGTCCTACCCGTGCAATGTTCGTCGAGTCTGTTAGCTCTACCATGATACTGAAAAATCAATAATAATGAGCTTCAAGGTGACTTCTGCAAAAATCTAGAGAGACACCTTTTCATTACGCCAATGTTTCCGTCTGGCAGGGTCTATGTTGAGGAGGCCACATAGGTAACAAGACGTCGTACATACTCAAAGCACCATTGAGACATCGACTGCGTGGGTTCAGTCAGAAATTCTGTGATTTCTCCGATAGTGCCAGACGAACCTCAAGACTAGACCCCAAAATGTACTGGAAAGTCCGAAACAATACATCGAAAAAGACAGCCCTAGAAGACCGATGAGGAGGACTGGCTTGCGACCAATAAAGTCTGACGCTCGGCTCCAATGCAAAACTGTGAAAGCTTGTGTCAAGAAAAATAAGGATTGCTGTACACCGAATCAGCTATGGGTTAAACTCCATTGCCAGAGGAACAGACCATGAGCCCGACGTAATAGCCAACTTGATTTTCATTCCCCTTCGTGATGCCAATGTCTCGTATGAGCTGTAGAAATTGTTGAGAATACAAAATCAACATACAGTAGGTTGCACAAACCTGAGGGGCAAAGGGGTATATAACCTGGGATGTCAACGGTTCTGTAAGCTGAAGAAACATTACAATTGTGAACTGTCCCCATGGGATCGGCGTCCTTTTCTTTGGCTGCTCTCGAAGCAGAGGAGTTTCCTCGTCGGCCTGTTGGGTCATGGCGTCTCAAGAACCGTCAGCTCGACTTCGCGCACTTATAAATAAAGGCAGATGTCAGTGATGAGGATTAACGAATTAACAGAGGCATATGTATGGGGAAACCCGATACTTCTCTTACTAATATATCTCATGAAATGACGTCTAGAAGGGAGTCGGCACAACTTCACCGAGGCTATAACGATTCGAAAGGCAGGTTAAGAGGTTCTGAATCAGTCTATCCCCGGACCGATGAGCCGAAGCCGCCAGACGAAGGTCACGGGTTAACTGACAGAACAAAGCGCTAGCCCTTCATGGCTTCTGATCATCCTAGCTTCTGATCATCTTAGCTATGGCTCCAAGCTGACCTAGCTCTCCCCCACTATGACATTCCTAAAAAAGAAAGGAGAACATGATCACATCTAGTCCACATTTGTTATTGTAGTATACACTATTCATACAGTCGCGTTTTACACCCTTCCATGAGCAAGTCCTCCCCAAAGATCTGCTCCAAGCCATGGTGCTGCCACATAGTTTCTGACTCTACAAAATACAACTTTTGTGATTCCTGTTGAGAAACTGACAGAAAAAATCAGCAAGCATTGCACGTGAAAAAAAGTAGCTCAAGCTAGTGAAGTTAGCAGGACGAAACAAAGGAGAGAAGTGGATTCTGACATAGAAAATGACAGTGATGATGCTAATGATGATGTAGGTGTCATACATATTGAAAGCAGACACTTTAACTCTGTGAAAACAGCTCATTGAGGTTTTTACCGATGCCAAAAGCTTTTTCAACAGTTTGCAATCAGACCAAGGCACACAACGACGTTGTAATTTAGAGAAGGTTATGAGATCATGCATGATCCA